GGGATTGGTCCAAGAAGAGCCCCAAGCAAAGTCCAGGGGAGTAAGGCCCTTGGTCTTGTTTTTATGGTTGTTTTTCATGCTGTGCAGCAGTGGGCAAGACACCCCATTGTGGGGTCAGCGACCCAAGCAGATAAAAACACTATAAACTCACGGCCATCGAGTTAGTGACCCTAACGGACAGAGTAGCCCTGGCCCCGTGAGTTTCCGAGACTGAACCTCAGCGGGAGTCGGAAGCCCTAGCTCTCTCACACGGAGCAGCCGGTGGTTTCCCACTGCTGGCCCTGGGGTTACCATACCAGGGCAGACCCGCTGCGCCACCAGGGTCCTCCCAAAGCAGGTGGACCACGCGCGCTTCATGCTCTTTCTGGGCTGTTGCGCAAAGGGCTTTCACTGTGGGAGAAGGATGCCCCTGAGGGTTGTTTTTCGGTTTTTGTTTGTTTGTTTGTTTGTTCTTCGGAAAGGGGGTGGTGGGCAAAGTACGTTAGGGACCCTGGACTGTGGTGTCTACTGACCCCAGTGCCCCGCTGTTGTTGCGGCCGCTGTCTTTTGTTTTTTTAAATCATTTTATTGGGGGCTCTTATCCCAATCCATCCATATATCCACTGTGTCAAGCACACTTGAACATTTGTTGCCATCATCGTTCTCATTTCTGTCTACTTGAACCCTTGGTATCAGCTCATTTTTTTCCTCCCTCCCCTCATGAACCCTTGATAATTTATGAATTATTGTTTTCTTGTCCTACATGGCTTCCAACCCAGAGGCTTATCTGTCAGCCCCTTACGGGACAGTGCCCCATTGTGATCCATCAGGCTGACTTCGGTGTAGATGGGGTGGTTTAATCATGGGCGGTGGGGTGCTGTTTCTGAAGTCAGCACCGTCGGGTCGTTGGCTGAGCAGGAAATGCTTATCTCTGTGCCGCATTCAGGGCGGCAAACAACTCAGCCATGCACTCAGTTCTGAGCCGCGGCCTGGGACGTGGCCGGTCTGTCTGGCCTGGAGTCTCCCAGTGGCCCAGATGGGGAAGCACCTGGCTGCCCCCTGGAAGGGGAGAGGCTCCAGGGCTCTCAGAGGCCCTGTGGAGCTGCCGCAGCTGGTGGACTTGAACTGCTGCCCCTCTGCTCCCCGTCCTTTGACGCTAACGAGTTCTCACCAGCTGCCCAGTGAAGACGACTTTTAGTGCTGGCCCTGGCATCGGAGATGCTGCTGCCGGTGGCAGGGGCTGAGAGCACCTTGAACCTGGGGCCTTTCCAGGCTTTCCTTGTTTCCAGTTTCAGGGATCGAGGCTAGGGCCTCTGGGCACAGCTGATGTTCTCCTTGGCACATATCTACACCCTATCCCCTCCGAGGTGGCTACCCTCCAGGTAGATGTGTGTGAAGGGCCTTTTCTAACTAACCCCTCCAACCCCCAGCGGGGACTGCCTTGGACGCCTATTTGACCTTCACCCCAGTAGCCATGTGGTCTGGTGGGCCCGTAGCAGGGCTGTGGGGGTGATGGGCCGGTGTTGAGGGCTGGAATGCAGGTCGAAGGTGGGAATGGAGAGGAAGTAATGCACAGAAGCTGCCTGGGAAACTCAGGCAGGGGGCAGCAGGTCCTTGGCCCTTGGTGACTGCCCGCTGCTTCACAGTGGCCAAGTGTGAATTCTTCAATGCGGGCGGGAGCGTGAAGGACCGCATCAGCCTGCGGATGATCGAGGATGCTGAGCAGGCTGGGACCCTGAAGCCTGGGGACACCATCATTGAACCCACATCAGGGAACACAGGTGAGCCGCAGGCAGCAGGGCCTGGCCAGTGCCTTCATGCTCCCAGTGGGTGAGACGGGAGCCTGAGGCCTGCTTCATCTCTCTGCACTGCATGACGCCCCTCCACCCCAAGCCCCTAGTCTGTTGAATGATGGGGCCCCGGGGATGGTCCAGCAAGCCAGGCAGCCCAGGGGGCAGCTAGGATCATTGTTGCTGTGACCTCCTACGGAACCCCATGCCAGCCGGGGAGCCTTGCTTTGGGTCCTATAGTATTTCTGCAACCTCTTTGATTTCTCTCCCTGTGGCCTTGAGGGCAGAAGGGGACCCCACGTTGAATGTCTTTGGAATCCCGGGGGGTGCTATCCTGGGAGGGCCCCTGTGTAGGGTCAGAGGGCTCTGCGTCCCCTCTGATCACATGTGCTGCCCTCAGGCATTGGGCTGGCCCTGGCCGCCGCCGTGAAGGGCTACCGCTGCATCATCGTGATGCCCGAGAAGATGAGTTTGGAGAAGGTGGGTCGGCGGGGTGGGCCGGGGTGCCCTCTGACACTCCCCAGACCCAGCCTGGTAGTGCCCTGGCATGAACGGCTCTCCCCTGGTGCAGGTGGATGTCCTGCGTGCGCTGGGTGCCGAGATCGTGAGGACCCCCACCAACGCCAGGTTCGACTCCCCTGAGTCCCACGTGGGCGTGGCCTGGAGGCTGAAGAACGAGATCCCCAATTCTCACATTCTAGACCAGGTGAGGGGCTGGCAGCCTCGGGTCTGTGTCCTGAGGCTGGCACATACAGGGGGTCCTTCCTTTGTGGGGGCCAGTGGGAGTGGCAGTGGGGGTCCCAGTGGGGCTGGGACCTGGGCCTGTGGCTCTGCAGTTCCCCAGCACAGTGCAGCGGGCCTGCCTCTCGGTGTTCAGCTGGGTTGCCTTCTGGCGGTCCCCGGAAGCTCTCTCCGGGCACGCAGTGCAGAGAAACCTACTCAATGAAAGCTCTTCCATCTTGCACGTTTCTTTTGGATTTCTCCAGAAATTGCATCTCCTCGGGGCCAGTTTTAAGTGTCTGTGTCCCTGCTCAGGGTCTTAGAATGGCCTCTGTGAACCTCTCTCTGGGGTCCTCTCTGGCTGGCTCTGCGCTGCCGACCACTGTTGCTCTCATGTCTGACGTGGCTGTTTCCCACACAGTACCGCAATGCCAGCAACCCGCTGGCTCACTACGATACCACCGCCGAGGAGATCCTGCAGCAATGTGACGGTGCGTACCCCCACGCTCACTCTGGTGGCCGGTTCATCCCTGATTGCCCGGGAGTGGAGGAGTTGCTGGTTCCCTGCTCGATCCACCCCACGCGTCCCCTCTGTGAGCTACGTTCTTCAGTGTCGTCTCCCCGTGCCTGTAGCACTAGGCCCCGTGTGGTCGTGTTCAATGACCCAGCAGTTCCCTCTCCAGATCTGCTGGAGCTCCTGAGCATGACGATCAAGCCCCAACTTGAGCACCAAGTTCAGTAGCAAACGTTTCTCCTCTCTGGAGCAGGGGCGATGACCTCTGTAATTAGCTTGCTTTCTGCGTGGGCTCGAGGCTCTTGGGAATGTTCCAAGCTGCTGTGCCAGGCCTCGTAGAGGTTGGCGGTGCAACTCTGCTGAGAGATGCCCTTAGGGAAAAGCTGTGGAGAGGGCCTGGACTGCCAGCAGGCTTGGAGCCAGGCTTCCTGTGCAGGATCTGGCATTGGCACTGTCCGGCATACCCTCCCCCGTGCCCAGGAGGCAGGCAATGCATTCCAGCCCCAGCTAGCTCAGGTTTTATGGTGAAAAACCCTCATCTGGCACCGACAGCCCCTCTGCCTTGCCTTGCACAAACGCCCTGCTTGGCCTCATGAACCCCAACACCTTCCCCCCCCCCCCCCCCCCCCCCCCCGCCCCCCACTCACTGTTGCCCAGGCGTGCGGCCACGGGTCTGAGAGCTCAACAGGCGATGACTAAGTCCAGGCTGTCAGGGTCTGTCTGGAGGTCAAAAGCTGATGAAGGAGTGGCCCCTATAGCGAGGGGGCTCCCTCTGCCGCTCTTGGCACATGTCTTGCCTGCCCTTCAGAGTGGCACCCCATTGTGTGGCTAGACCACCGGCCACACCCCCATTCATCTGCTGGACTGTGACGATGCCGCAGGGAGCTTTAGTGCCCCTGTTCTGTCTTCACCTGTTTGAACGCCTCCCTGCTTTCCCATCACTTGGGTCCTTTGGGATTCTGGATTTTAACTTCTTGAGGGATCCCTGAATGGGGAACGCAGCCTTTCTTAGAAGGAAGGGCTGTGACGAGCATCCTTAAATCGGAGAATCCGCCTGGCTCCGTGTTGTTGCCTTTCCTTCTGAACTTTTTGATCAGCTGCTTGGCGTCCGGCAGTTAGGACGAAAAAAGGTGTGGGTTGGCAGTGTTCTCACGGCTGGCCCCACTGTCTGCCGGCACAGGGAAGGTGGACATGCTGGTGGCCGCGGCCGGCACAGGTGGCACCATTACAGGCCTTGCCAGGAAGCTCAAGGAGAAGTGTCCAGGGTGCAAGGTGAGTGACCCGCCTGGGCACCAGGGACGCGGGAGGCACACTGGCCCACCGGTCGGAATATCCCATTCCCTACACAGCTCAGAGCCCTGGGCCTGATGTACTGGCCCCTCTCACCTGTTGTCCGGGGAGGTGTGTGACACCCGCAGACTGGCCTCTGGGCCTCGGAGCTGAATGTTCCCCCTCCTCACCTCTGCACATGCAGTGTGTAGCTGTCTGCCTGCGGAGCCTGGTCCTAGGTCGCTGTGTCTGACCGGAGAGGGTGGGGAGGACAGACAAGGAGCCAGCCACCTCGGGCACAGTGACCCAGTGAGCTGGGGCGGGGGCCATGCCTGGCTGGGGGGATCAGCTTAGGGGTGGTCTTTTGAGAATCCCCGCTTCTCAGCCTTTCTGAGCAGCCTTCAAGGGGTGGCATCAACCAGGTTTGCCTGGGTTGAGGATGGGTGCCCGGGGCATGGGGTCTGGGGAAGGGGTCATGTAAACGTCCAGTGTCCCTTTCTCCCTGGAGTGACCCTCCCGTCCTCCAGGACATGGTCACTGCTCAGCCCTGCCTTTGTTGGGGCTTGCCCTGGGACTGTCCTGGGGTGTCTGACCCAGCTGGGGCTCGGGGGGGAGTCCCCTCCTTGCTTGGACTTCCCTGTGCTGGGCCTGACACTTCCTTTCCTCTGGGGTCTCTGTACCCTCGGCCTGCTTTCCAGGTTTCTGACCTTGTCCCTGAGCCCAGGTCAAGGCTTCTTCATGGGTGAGGGTCAGGGTGGTATGGGCACCACTCCTGGCCGGTGTCCAGATGGGACTGACCAGACACCACTCCATGCAGGTCATCGGGGTGGACCCTGAAGGCTCCATTCTCGCCGAGCCGGAGGAGCTCAACCGGACAGATGTGACGGCCTATGAAGTGGAGGGCATCGGCTACGACTTCCTGCCCACCGTGCTGGACAGAACGGTGCATGTGGGCGGGGTCTATGGGATATCCACTACCCACCTCAGTGTGGCTTCTTCCACAGTTCCTCCCAGAGCGGGAAACCAAGCTGCCAGTATGGGCCGGAGCAGAGGGGGCCCAGGCCTGGGGTGCAGAGGGCACAGTGTGACCTACACCCAAGCCCCCATCGAGGCCCCATGGCAGAGACCTGAGGTCCCTGCTTGGAAAGCATATGGGGACGGGTCTGGGAGGCCAAGACAGAAGTCCGGACCTCTAGGAAGCTCTGCTCCCTTTAAAGAATCCTGGGTTAGTTTCCTAGGGCTGCCATCACACATTACCTCCACGTAGGCGGCTGAAACCAGTGCCCATCATTCACGATCTCATGAAAATCGGTGCCTCAGAGAAGCATGTTATCTCTCGGAAGGCTGGAGGGGAATGTCTCTCGCAGTGCTGACGTGGCCGGCCGGCCGTGGCTGGTCTGCACAGTACTCCAGCCTCGGCCTCCATCTGCATGCACGTAGCTGACCTCTCTCCTGCTCTCAGTGTCTCTGAGAAGGGCACCACGCATCATGGAATTAGGACCCACGCAGCTCCAGTGCCACCTCAGAGGGCCCCGCAGCACCTTCGCAGTTCCCATTTCCAAGCGAGGCCATCTGCAGCGCCACAGGGCGGTTGGTGTCATTGAGCATCACTGAGCTGGCTCCAGCACAAACTGTCCCGTCATCGCAGTTGCCTTCACGTTCGAGCCCATTGTGGCGGCCCCTGCGTCAATCCATCTTGTCCAGAATCAGCTGCTTTTTCTCTGACCCTCTACTGACCAAGCATGCTGTCCTCGGCCAAGGACGGGAGACTAAGTCTCGCTGTTCTTGCACCAGACAGGCTGGTTGGTGTTTTTGGTGGTCTGTTGTCTGCCTTACAGTCTTTCCCCAGAATTCAAATGCATCAGTGCTTTAGACTTACTTACCCACTGTCCGTTTTTCACGTGCGGATGAGCTGATTGAAAATGCCATTGGGTGCACCTTAGTCCTGAACGTGACATCTGGGCTCTTGAACATTTCAGTGCGGCCTGGTATAGCAGATTTGCTCCCCCGCCGTAGCATGTTTGATGCATCGACCGCTGTTTCCATGGGTATTGATCGTAGAAGCGAGTAAAATGAACTCCTCCGTAACGCCAACCTCCAGCAATCGTGATGGTGCTTAGGAAGCCAGTTGGGGATTTCGTTTTCTGTGTGATCTACCCTGAAGGCTGTGTGTGTGTGTGTGTGTGTGTGTGTGTGTGTGTGTGTTACTCCTCAGCAGTGAGTGCTTCGAGTCTTCTTCGCTTTCAGCAAGCAAGGTTGTGTGGGCCGCCTGGCACAGGTGGTTAATGAACCCCCCCTCAGTCCCGATGCCATCTACTCTTCATGAAGTCCAGCCTCATAGGTGATTCCTCAGCATGCCCATTACATGAGGGTGGCGAAAGGCTACAACCCCAATACACACCCTTCCCCATTTCAGACCGTGCAGAGCTCCTCCATTCTGCTCACATGACGGCCTCCTGGCCTCTCTGTCGGGGCCAGATGAGCTCCTCCAGTGTTCTGGACTTTCCTCTCCTCCTCGCTGTTACTCATAGCTTGTACTCCACACAATCGTCTTGTCTTTGCATAGTTAATAAAATGCACGTATTCTCTGCTTTCAGCCAAGATCTGTCCAGCATCAGCAATGATCTCCCTTGCTCCACGTCCTCTTCTGAATCCAGCTGGACTTTCTAGCAATTTCCTTAACTGCTATACCAAATATAGTCATGAAAAAATTCTTACCTCATCTTTTGCAAAGTTTAACTCGCATGTGTTTTATATTAATGGAATGGGCACAAGCATGGATGGATCTCTTCCGGTCATCCAGCCAAGGAAACTGTCTTCCAGACGTCTTGGCACAGTGCTTCCAGCATTGTGTCTGCTCCTTCCAACATTTCCCTTGGTGTTCTGTCAAGTCTTGTTTTCCCTGGTATCTTCAGTGCAGTGTGAGCTAGCGTCTTCCCTCAGTACCATCAGGCTAACTCCGGATGGTGGAATGTTGGCCAGTTATTCTAGGTGCAGTGACTCTGTGTATTCCCTCCATCTCCTTTGGATGCTTCCCATGCCACTCAATATTTCACCCATAGGATCCTTCAGTCTTACAACTCAAGGACTTTGTCTTCTAGAGCTGCCCTTTGCAATCCCCTGTTGGGTCAACATTCAACTTCCTCATGTCTTCCATTCAGCTCCTCCTCTGTGCTTAAGGGCAAGGCTCAGATTGCCTTCAGGCGTGAGTCCCTTTTGGTCGGGCTTTTTTCCTCGAAAAAACGGTGCCCCGTGAACATCCAAGATACGTGGATTAAGGGGGCTCCGATCGACCCACGGTGAACTCTGAAGGGTGGCTTTGATCTGGGGGGCCTAGTGCAGAGACTAGAATCTTATGAGGTCCCTGCAGGAGCATGCAGTTGCACGCGGGCAGGTGCACACAGTTGGCTAGGGAAGCAAGGGGAGAGAGTTCCAGGGTCCTGGAATGAGTACCAGCCTACATCCATGCGGGGTTCTTGCCAGCCAGCTAGGGGGCTGTGTGTCCGGAGGGGGTTCTTGCCCCTAGACAAGTGGTCACGCCCTGGCAATGCTGCCAGGCGAGTGCAGACGTGGCCTGGGGTCACGCCGTCGGTGTCTCCTGCAGGTCGTGGACAAGTGGTTCAAAAGCAACGACAAGGAGTCCTTCGCCTTCGCCCGAATGCTGATGGCCCAGGAGGGGCTCCTGTGTGGTGAGTGACCGCAGGCAGGGTCGGTGGCTGAGGACACAGTGTGGGGCCCGCCATCTCCCGGTTCCAGCCCTAGCACACACGGGGACTCCTTCGGGTGCGGGAAAGGTGGGCTGCGTGTGCTGAGGGCGCCTTCTGACTGCCCGGGCCCCATCATGCTGTGTCATGTCATGTCTGGGTGAGATCACGGCCCTGGTGCAGGCGGAGCCCTCAAGGCCAAGTCGGAGCGATGGCTTCACATGCCTGTGTCCTTGTAGCCGCACTGATGTGGTTACCGCAGTGCTCATCGTCTGTGGCAGTCATTTTCTGCTATGTCCCACCAACACTGAATTGGCAAATGCAGTGCCACCTGGCTGGGTCTCAGCTGGTCCTCCATGCACCCCCTGGAGGGTCCTCTTATTCTGAGAGCCCAGCTCCTCTCCCCACAGGCTCCCTGCAGAGCCTTCCGGATCATGAGTGGGCGCACACACACACACATACACACACACACACACACAGCAGCAGCACGCTCTCACCCACTCGCTGCGCAGGGGGGTCAAGAAGGCCCTGTGTCTCGCAGGCGGCAGCTCTGGCAGTAGCATGTCCATCGCCGTGAAGGCTGCACAGGAGCTGCAGGAGGGCCAGCGGTGCGTGGTCATCCTGCCTGACTCCGTGAGGAACTACATGTAAGTTGCCGACTCTTCCTCCTCCTCCTCTCCTCTTCCTCCTCCCCACCTCTCCCCTCCTCCTCTCCTTCTTCCTCCTCCTTCCCTCCTCCCACTCCTCCTCCCCTCATTCCCCTCCTGCTCATCCCCCTCCCCTCCTCCTCCCCTTGTGGACCCTCGGTTATTGTCCCCGCTGTGCCTCACAAGGTCTCCCACAATCCCTGCCTTCGCCTTCTGGCCTTCAGGGTCTTCCTCCACGTCTCAGGTACCTGGGCTTCCTCAGCCGCACGGTCCCCTTCTTGGCTCTTCGAGGCCAGCTGCTCACGGGACAGCCCTCACCTGGCCAGGGAGCGCCTCCTTACCTGGGGCTCCTGTGCCCTTTATGGCCAGCTCCCCACCACCTCTCTGCACCTGCACTGGTGTTGGCCCCCAGCTGGACACCGTGTGCCCCCCTGCTGGAGCTGGCCACCCCGCTGTCCTGGCTTGGCAAGGGGAGGCAGGGGGCTCCGCAGACTTATTTTCGGGCTTTGAAGTATGATGGGCAGCATGTGTCCGCTCCCTCAGCTCTGGTCATGCCACGTGTGCCCCACGAGGCATGAAGCGTCCAGCTCTGCTCCCTCGCCAGGGCTGAGGCCCTCCCGGCCTCCGGTGGGCAGAGCCCCTCCCGGCCCTAAAGCCTTGTGCCAGGCGTGGCTGTGGGAGCTCGGAGTTGGGTCGAGGTGTGGGTGACTCATGTCTGGGGGTCCACTGCCAAGGATGAGCAAGCCTCGCCCCTCCCCCACCATGCCTGCCTCCCCCTACTTTGGGCAGCCTGCTGTGCACATTCCAGCTTGTATGTGAGGGTGTGGGTTTGCTGTGTGAAGAGTGTGTGTGTGTGTGTGTGTGTAATGAACTTGGGTGCTTGAGCATCAGAATATCTGAGTGTGAATGTCTGTATGTGTATGTGTGATGCATGTGAGTGCGTGAGTACCTGTGTGTGAGTGTGTGAATGAGTATGTGAGTGTGCATAGGTGAGTGATGCATGTGAGTGTGTATGAGTGTAATTATGTGTGTGAGCATATGTGAGTGTGAGTGTATGTGGGTGTGTGTATGGGTGAGTGTGCGATGCAGGTGAGAGCATGAGCACCTGAGTGTGTGTGTGTGCACGCGTGTGTGGGCGCAGCAGGCAGCACATCACGCTTGCTTCTCTGTGCCCTCCATTTTCCAGCAAGCTCCTGGCACCAGCTCGTGCCTGTCATGCCTGGTTCTGGTTCCCTCTGGGTGGGAAGGGAGGCCACAGGGGCGGAAGAGGCTTGGAGAACTTGCTCACAGACGTTTCCAGAGAAGACGCCCCATTAAGTTCTGAGCTTATTCTGCCCCAGACAAGTGAGCTCAGGCTGGGAGCTGTACCCCAATGTCCTACCAGCCTGAAGTCCACAGCACACTCTCTGAAGCCTGGCCCCTGCCCCTCCCTGCAGCGGGGGTCCAGTGTGTCTGGGCAGCTCTGGGGGGGCTGAGCGTGGCATTGCACCTGCACTGCAGATGCTGGGCTCAGGGGGCTGAGGGGGTGGTGAGGGCCGCCTCTGACTGCTCTTGGCCGCAGGTCCAAGTTCCTGAGTGACCGGTGGATGCTGCAGAGGGGCTTTATGAAGGAGGAGGACGTGGCTGTGAAGAAGCCGTGGTGAGTGAGGGCCTCCCGGAGCCTCAGGCAGCAGGGCCTGGTGGGCGCAGGCAGGGCAATCGGCCTGGGCGGGGGTGGTCTTCCTTGTGTGGTGCCACCTCCAGTGGGCTGCCTGAACCTTGGGCACAGTGTCCCTGACCCCAGCCCCCTTGAGCACACCACTCTCCATGCAGGTGGTGGCACCTCCGAGTCCAGGAGCTGAGCCTGTCGGCCCCGCTGACAGTGCTGCCCACGGTCACCTGCGAGCACACCATCGAGATCCTCCGGGAGAAGGGCTTCGACCAGGCGCCCGTGGTGGACGAGGCAGGGTCTGTCTCAGCCGCCCCCAGCCCCATGTGGGCCCGCTGAAGCAGCAAGCCGGGCCCCACCCCCAACCCCTGGGAGGCACGGGACGAGGCAGCCCTGAGGACCTACAGCACATGGGCTGGCCTCTGGCACGTGGTCCCTTTGCATGTGCTGTCCTGGCCCTAGAACATGAGAACTCTTCCTTCCACCCCAACCGGAGCAGGGGGCGGGCGGGGCCCCTAGACTCCCTGGGTCCTGATGCCTGGGCCCCATTCCCCACTCCCCTGCACCCAGGCTGTCCTCAGCCCCTGCTGCAGGAGGCAGCTAGAGATAATGGCCCCCACGCTGACGTCTGGAAGAGCTCAGGGGCACCATGGTGGTTGGGGCTGGGAGGCTGCTCTGGAGGAAGACCCTGACCGGCACAGCTTTCCTGTTCTCTGGGCCGTTGAGCCCGGATTTACTTGTGGCAGATGCGTAGGGCCAGAACAGTCCCCCAGGGGTTGCTACACCCTGATCTTGCCAGCAGAGGCCTGGGGGTACAGTGGGCTTTGTGTTGAGCTGCTAACCCCAATTCAAGGTCAGCCATTTGAAACCACCGGCCGCTCTGCAGGAGAAAGAAGGAGCTCTCTACGCCCGTAAAGCGTTGGGCAGTCTCAGACTCACAGGGGCAGTTCTACGCTGCCCTGGGGGCTCGCTGTGAGTCAGCATCGATCAGTGGCCTGGCTGTGAGGATCTCACAGAAGCAGACCTGGAGTGCTTTTAGAGAAATAACATCATAAATAGGGGCTTCTTAAATTGGCTTCCCAGCCTGCTAAGTCTTAACACTAGTAATGCTACTTCAACACCCCACTCCTGGTACCAAAATCTGTTAGACAGGGTTCTCTAGAGAGACAAAACCAGATTGCTAATAATTATATAGATAGCTATATAAATACAAGAAATAAACAGTTAAATTATAAAGCAGTACAAATGGCTCAGTACAATTCAAATGTGTTAGACAGTTGTGAGGCACTGGCAGTCCGTCAAGTCTTGAGGGCCGCCAGGTCATCCTCTGTAGAGAGACTCAGGCTATCCCGGCACAGGCAGCGAACAGCCAGGCAGGTCACCAACAGTCAGTCAGGTCACCAACTGTCAGTCCCCAGCTCAAGAGATGTAAATTCCAATGGTGTGGCGAAGCAGTTCTTGAAGGACCCTCAAATTACAGCGACACAGTCCACAGGTTAGGTGTCCTACAGGTAGTGTAGCTTGCAGATTGAGGCACAGAACAAGCAAGGCAGCCGCACACTGGTCCGATGATCAAAGAGCAAGAGACAAGAAAGGCGAGGCTCACAGAGCCATTTATCTCTCCGCCCTTCACCCACATGTGTTTATCGGCTGGCACAATAAACTAACTATCTCACACGGCCTTTCTCCCACGGAGCTGCCCAGTGCTGGAAACTGCCAGCCATTCGTTTGTAGAGCTTTGAACACACGACCCCAGGGCTGCTGTACCTCAGGCATCGCTGGGCTTGTGGGTGCTACGCCTTCATCTGGTGGCCCTTCTCTCAGCAGAAGGGAGAGGGATTAGGACCCATCTTATCCGACCTCGTTAATACAAGGAAAGCCTTACCTCCTAACAAGGCAAGGTCACACTTCCAGGTACAGGGCTAAAGGCTTCCCAGTTGCTTTTTGGGAGGGGGGGTGGGACTCATTTAATCCACAATGCACATCTGGCTGAGGATGAATCTGCACAAGAGATTCATGGCAGACACAGCCAGGTAGCCCACCACCCCTCAGCCCAGGGAACTGGGAAAGTATCGAGCCCTCTCTCAGGAGGGCAACGAAATGGAAAGGCTGGCCCTGAATGGGCAGGAGGCTTGCCTGTGTGGTCTGGTCACCCACTGCTATATCCCTTCAATATCATGGGCAAATTTTATGGACATCTGAGAGGAATTTTAGTGTATGGCCCAAGCACCAACTCTCAGGCGCTAGAGGCAGCCCTGGGCACATTCTGTCCTGAGGATATGTATGTATGTATTTGTGTGTAGGAGGGGAGGTGTTTGATGTGTACACGGCCTTGACCCCCACTCTGTACCTCCTTCCAGGGTGATCCTGGGAATGGTCACTCTTGGGAACATGCTCTCGTCCCTGCTCGCCGGGAAGGTGCAGCCTTCGGACCAGGTCCGCAAGGTCATCTACAAGCAGTTCAAACAGGTGAGGCCTGAGGCTCACTGCCTCCGTTGGGAGGGCTGGCCCATGACAGCCAGCTGGTGTGGCCTGGGCCCCTCACAGGCCTGCAAGGGGCTGGGTCACCAGAGTCAGCCTGGTGTCTTCCTGTCCGTGTGCGTTGGTAAGAATGCCTGGCATGCTTATTTAAAAAGGACATTCTTGGAGAGGCACCTCGGCTGTTGTCTTGAGTTTCCCCCTCCCCGCCCCCCCATGGAGAACACTGCTACCCTCCAAGGTCCCTGCAGGGGACAGGATTGGGGTGACTGGATGACACTGCCGCTTCCCAGTGTCCCTTGCAGGGGCAGAGTCAGTGTGACTGCTTCCCTGTGGGCCTGTGCAGCTTGACTTCCCCAGCTGAGTCCTTGTCCCCACCATTCAGGATGGGCTGTGGTATTCTAGGGGCTGAGCTCCAATCTGGGAACGAAGATTTTTCTCGTTTGTGTCACTCACACACACTCCCATGACCCCACCCAGGCCTTCAGAAGGTCTTGCAGCTGAACACGAGCAGACACGGCACCGGTCTCAGCAGAGGCTGGAGAGCGCACAGGTGGCACCCTGCCAAGCCTCCAGGCTGCCCACCACATGGATGGCTTGCCTGAACGCCTCCGTGGTGGAGAGCCTCATATGCCCTGTCCCACCTGCCCCAGCCCCTTTCCCGTTCCTTCCCCCACCCCTCTCCTCCTCCAGCTCCCTCTTTCCGCCTTGCCCTCTCTCCACACGGCCTCCCTGACCACACTGCAGAGTGCCCACCATGGCGGCTGCTGCCTATGCTGAGCTGGGCTCACTAGTCAGGTGCTTTGAGGTTTGGCCATGACAGATGAGCTCTCACCCCCAATTCCACGGCAGAGGTCAACTCCTATGTCTTGGCTGGTCTCTCCTCTTTTCTCCTCCTGATTTTCTCTGCCCTATTGAGCAGAAAATACAGAGGGCTCCCATGTACCCCCTGCCCGCCCCCCCCAGTTTCCCCTTTGTAACATCGTATCTTCCTATGGTACATTTGTTACATTTGATGAACTGATAGGGACACATTGTCCATCGTTTACAGTAGGGTCCACTGTGGTGCAGCCCCGTGTGTGTTGACAAAAACAGATCAGGTGTCCAATGTACAGCACATTTTCACTGTCCGACACATGCCTTGTCTCCCCCATTCTGCTGCCCCCTGACCCCGAACATCCACTGATCTTTCCATCTCTCAAGACTTCCCTTTTCCTGTACACATATAGTTGAAATCATGCAGTATATATATATATTTTAAGCCGGTTTCTCTTGTGTAAGTATGTGTTTAAGGCAGGGCTGCAAATCAGTTCTTCCAAACTCACTCGTGACTGATGAAGCAAAACGGGAAGGGACCCAACTTTGTGAAATGTGGGTGAGCGGGGGGCAATGACCAGAAAGGGAGAAATTACTACAAACTCCATGTCCCTCGTAGGAAACGAGGTCAGCGTGCATGTGGGTTGTGTAGCAGGGTCGGAAATAGTGGTGCCCTGCTCACAGATGGTGGCCAGCCTCTGGTCTGAATGCATGCCACTTTCCACAGCCCTCCGAAAAGCCAGTCTCCTTCTTCAGGCTCTGGAGGGGCTCGAGAGGCCTCTTCCAGCCTCCCCTCAAGGCTGCAGCCTGTAATTTCCCCCCATCTTGTTTTGCCTCACCCAGATTTTGTAAATTTAAATCTGTTCTGATTTTACTTCGTCCACCACGACTGAACTGGTTCCTGCGTGTGGCGGTTATGTGCTGGACTGCTAACTGCAGCAGTGCAAACCCGCCAGGTGCTCCCTGGAAGGAAGAGAAGGCTCTGCTACCATAGACACTTCGTCTAAGAGCCCCTCAGGCAGTTCTCCCCGCCCTACAGGGGCCATAGGAGTCAGGATCCACCCAGTGGCAGTGGGTTGACTTGGGTCGTGTCTTTGTACCTGGGTCCTATAACCCTCAGATCCCCACTTCCAGTTTCCAAATCAGAGCAAAAGGCCGAAGGAGCCTTCTGGAATAATACAAGGTGAAGTGGTCCTGTCTCCCCAACCCAAAGTCCCCATAGCCTGCACCTGGCCTTCATGCAGCAGCAGGGCGAAGCCACCAGGGGCAGTGGCCCCCTGCGGAGGCTGTGGGTGAGCTCAGCTGTGACTTCTCCCGCAGATCCGCCTCACGGACCCTCTGGGCCAGCTCTCGCACATCCTGGAGATGGACCACTTTGCCCTGGTGGTGCATGAGCAGATTCAGTGTGAGTGGGCCCTGGCTCCGGGCGGGGCGGGCAGTGTTGGGCAGCCAGTGCAGAGCCATCTCAACTGCAGCCGCTTTGCCCGCACGGGGCGGGCACTGCCTCCTGCAGATGGGAGGGCCACCATGCAGCCAGGCCTCTCTGTCGTCACTGATCCTTTGACCTCCGGCCCCAGACCTGGGCTGATGCGCCTTAGCAATGAAGAGACCTCTGTCTCCCCCACCCTGAGCCCCTGGGAGGCGCTGGGGGGTAGTGGAATGAGTAGGGAGGGAGGTGGGGTCCTCTGCTCCAAGTGCACAGGCTCAGGTGTGATCGGGCTCACCCACAAACCGTGACACAGATGATGTCATCTGCCGGCCCACGTGGCGGGTCCTTCTACAGCCCCGCTCCTGGCCTCCCTTGACTGCCCCGGGCAGTGTTATAGGCTATGTCTTAGACGCTGTGTGTGGGAGCAGACTCGAATCCCTCGCAGCAGTCAGCTGAAGGGGCTCCCGGAGCATGCTCTGCTAAAAACCGTGCCCACTCGCCTTCAGCCCTCAGCTGCAGTCTCTGAGCAGAGCAAGCAGCCCCTGTCCTGTCCCTGGGTTGGGAGCCCTGGAGCCTGCCCACCCTCGCCCTCACCCCCGACCTTGTGCACCTCAGGCAGGGTGGGCTCGGGCGGGGGCTGGTCTCTGTCTAACCCCGTCTCCCGCCCTTGGCTCCGCAGCTCAGGACCAGGCCTTGTCGGGCGTGGTGGGGGGGCCTGCAGGTACGTACGAGACCTTACCGCAGTTAGATACGGCCTGTGAGAACTAAGGAGGGAGTTGGGGTTCCTCGAGCAGCCCCTCTTCTGTGGCTGACCCGCCCCAGCCATCCCTCCCCAGTCTCTCACTGACTTGACCCCAGAGCCCCCTCCCCAAGTGCACTAGGTACCCCTGTGGCACAGGTTGCTGACCCCTGGGCTGCCCCTGCATTTCCCCACAGGCCGGCCTGAGCCTGCCCCCGGCGGGGCTCTGCTGGCAAAGGCAGGATTCGGGGATGGGACAGAGCCTGTGGGCTGACTTGGGTATTTCTCCCTTCCAAAACCAAGGGGTGTTTGTTGGGGGGGACCCTAACCATTCTCCCTGCCTTGGAGGCTGGGGTCTTGAGCACCCTCCCTGCCCTGAAGGGTGGAGGCCAAGGGCAGGCTGTAGTGGCCAGCTGAGCGAAGAGCTGGGCAGGCAGGATCACAGGCAGAGGTGTGAGTCGTTTGTCCGTGGAGGGAGCTGTTTGGGGCACAGAGGAGCCCCGTGGCTGCATTTGGAGTCCAGAGCGAAATGTCCAGTGGGCGTGGCCTCTGGGGGGGGGCGCCCTGACCCCTGGTCCTGGGTGGCTCTGCTCTGTGGTTTGGCCCCTGGTCGCCTCTGTGGGCAGAAGTGCACGTTTCCTGTGGGCTCCCTATTGGGGCCCCCAGGGGGCTCTGGGTGGGGGCACAGTCGCCCCGGCTTGTGTGGGCAAAGGCACCTTTTCACCGGCCGCCCTGCTGATCTCTCCCCAGACCACAGCCACGAGAGGTCCAGTCAGAAGCAGATGGTGTTCGGGGTCGTCACCGCCATCGACTTGCTGAACTTTGTGGCCACCCGTGAGCGGACCCAGAAAAACTGACTCCCAGGCGGCCAGCCAGCAGCGAGCCCGCCTTGCTCACCCCAGCCTGCCCCCTTGGGATGGGCCCTCCAGCTCTTGTACACACTACACAGACACGCGATTGTTCATGGCCCGCCAGTGAGCTTCCCTGTACCAGGCCTGACCACGAACCCAATCAGGGCTGAGCTTATCGGATGGAAGTCTTGCACTGCCTTAAACTGTCTCTAAGTAACGTAACACAGAAACCACGGGAGGAGAGAAGGTGGAGAGAGGGGGAGTCTTTTCCAGGGAGGAATCGGGAGGAAAGGGGGCTCAAAACGTGTGGACAGTGTCCCCCTTGGGGCGGGGCTGGACTGGTTCTGGTGGCCCTGCCCTCATCCTGGGGCTACAGCAGGGCCTGGGCTGGGGGGCAGGGCTTTTGTGGGGGGATGCTGGTGGTGGCAGCTGTCCTCCACTGTCCGGTCTCTTGTGCTAACAGAAACTCCACTCTTGAGCGGCTCTGACCAACAGAGACTTACTTTCTCACGGTTGAGGGGGCTAGGGACCCAGTTCAGAGGCGTGGCTCTCGGGGAGGGCTCACCCTCTGACAGTTCTGGGGGCCAGTCCTGCCTCTCGGTGGAACGGATGCGGCATCTGTCCCCTCTGGATCTCTGGTCTAACCTGCCCTTTGTCATCAGACATGATCTGGGTTGGGACACAGCCTATACGGATGTGGTCTCCTTAAGGAAACAAAGCAATTCCTGTTCCCAAACCAGATCATAGCCACAGGGTCTAGGCAGGAGGTCAGGATTCCGACTCCCGTTTCCACCCACCATCTGCAGGCTCGGCTTCCTCCTTCGCATCGTCACCGCCCTGTGGGAGGCCTTCAAAACGTGGGTGGAGACATTCGTTAGCTTTCACCCCATTTTCCAACAAACATGGAAGCTGCCTGAGCTCAGTCCTAGCAGGGCCCCCCTTGTAGCCCCCAGAACACTGCCCTTGACAGCAGAACTGCCGCAGCCACCTCCGGTTTCGTGCTCAGCGCCCACATGTCAGCTCTCGCTTTCCTGGCTTCCTGCACACCTGCTGCGATGTGGAAATAGGGTCTCCTCGTGAGTGCTTATCCCGCAGGGTGCCGTTCTGTTACTTTAAATGCTGTGTGTCATCGTCCCCACTCAGCCTTTACAGCCACTAGTCTACCAAAGGACCCCCCACGTCCCGGAAACACCAATCTAGAGTGGGCATGGGTTAGCACCCCGTCTGGAAGGGGCCGGGCCACCAGGTGTCCCTGGAGTCCTGGGTGGTACACACAGTTGATGCTCTCAAGCTAACTGAAAGGTGGGTGGTTTGAGGTCACCCCAGGTGTGCCATCAAGGCCTGGCAATCTACTGCCTGGAGGAAACCAGACCCTGAGGACCCAGCAGGGGCACAGTCCTCCCCTGACATGAGTAGGCTACCACACGTCACAGCAGCTTGTCAGGATCTGTTTTAGGGTTACGTCCCGGAAGGCTGACATGACCCACGGAAGCTTTGTTACACACTCTCAATTACAGAAATTGCAGTTTTTTACATGTCTGGGGATATATTGATTTGGGTTTTACGCATTATCACTTAAAATTGTCGGCGCTCTCCTAGCTTGCAGGCGATTGGTGGGTGGATGGGTGGGGTGTGCCCAGGTTTGAAGCCCCCTCTATGCCTGTGGTAGTCAGATGATTTTGTCAACTAGACACTCCTGGCTTGGGGTGAAGTTCAACCTGCCAATCGAGTCACAGCCTGATGACACCTCCCTGGTCTTGTAAGCCTGGGGAACTCCCTCTTTGCCCTAAGGGGTGGCCCC